GAGGCTTCTCTGTCCTTTGTGTTTGCCTGGCCAGGAAAAGCGTAGGAGCACAGGCCCAAAGTGGTAGGCTCCATAGCTGGATAAGTTAATTACTTTCATATAAAATTTTTTGTTCCAGTACAAGATGACGGTTTTAAATGCAGTGCGCAGTGTCACAAATGCATATTGATGATAAGAGGGCGTACCTCCACAAATCTCCTTCCCACTACCCCATTGGGAAAGTCATTCAAAATGCATGTCCTATTGAGGGTGAAGCATACGTAACTAGGCAACAAACCATCTCTCTGTCTGTCATACAGTCTCACTGTTCTGTGGGCTGTTGGCCACATTGGAACCTGAAGATGTTCAGGCATTATTTGGATAACTTGGGACAACCCATTAACTCCAGGAGGGTCTTCACACATGAGACAGACCATACAATAGCGAGGCTGTCCTCGATACCCCACCAGGAGGATTTATGCCCTGAGTTGCTTTTCTAGTAGCAGACATATATTTGCCCCATTCATTCCAACCATAACCTTAACTGTAAATTCGTTTCATTTCTAACCCTAACTGAAAGGGGTGGAGATGCCAGGGAACCTGGCAGGCAAACTACTGAACACAGGGATCAAATGCTAGGATTTGGCTGAACACTGGGCTGGCTCTTAGGTCTCCAGGCTGAAGCCTCAGAAAGGGTCCTAGAATAGAAGGAGTAGTGAGATGAGGGTTGGACATGAAGGGCCTGAAACATTAAGGGCAAAGTGCCAACCAGGACCCAGAAGATCTAGAACACAGCTGAAAAGGAGACAGAAAGCCCCGCTGCCTCAGAATTAGGTGATTTGCTTGACCATCCCTTCTGCAGCATTCTAGTCCCCTCCTCTCAATGACTATCCTTTCAACTGGTACTTTCCCCACCTTATGGCCTGCAAGCTCCCACTCCTTCCCTCCCTTACACCTGTGATTCAGAAAGGCAACAATTTCTTTTCCTGCTACCCCTCCCCACACTCTAGTGTGGTACCTATCCACACTCCTCCCCCGACAAATACTACCCCATCCCCACGCTCTGCACACTCTAAAAACCTCACTCCATCCATAAAAAATTCTCCGTCCTCCTGGATTTCAGTCACCTGGTGTTTATTTATCTGGTCACAGACTGGATGTATCAGCAAAATACGAAGTCCTAGACAGCCGTCACTGTTTTGTTTTGTGTTTGGATCCCCAGGGTCTAACATGGCTTTTCCCAAGGTTAGCTGGGGAAACTTCCTCTACTAATTAATGCGTCTACTCCACAACATCCATACAGATTTGTGTGGCCCGCTGAGATATTAAGTGACCCTCCCAGGAACACACAGTCAGTCTCTGTCAGACAGGACCTGAACGTGGGTCTTCCTGACTCTCTGGCCACTAAAATCAGATGGCTCTGAGTGGCTCTTGATTTGTTCTGGATCTCCTATCACTACCTTCCTCCTCCCCTATCCCCCAAAACTTGGAAATCACATTGGAACTCATGGAGAAAATCCTCCTGCTGCCCTGAGGGTCTTTCAAAGCTCCAGGAGCTAGACAACTCAGACGGAAAGAGCTCACTTTTACATCTTGGGCCTGAGCTTCAAATCAAGCCACCATGGTGATCCCACGGCTGGAGCTGGCTGCACTCACTGGCATGATGGGACTGCCTTAGTACCGAGCAATGTGGAGCTATCCCAAGCTGCTGGGAAATGTGTGGGGTGTGGGTGTGTAATGACTATATTTCATGGGAAACAAGTGAATATTTTCACATCAAAAAGCCTCCAAAAGGTGACATTGAAGCGCGCCAAGTACAATATGAAAAGCTTGCCAGTTTCAGGGCCTGAAATAAGATGTCACCCTTTTGTCAGCTGCTTGCTTCCGGCAGCCCCCCCTAAGTAGAAGTGAAGAAGATGCTTCTGCTCCCAAGCCAGAAGAGAGCCCAGCATCGTGGGTCCAGGCTTTTTGAAGGTTGCTATTTAAAAAGTTCAAGAAAAACCATACAGTTTCAATAGACCCTTATGCATGATTAGAGAGCTTTAGAGTTTCGTTTTTTATATTGCAAACTCAATTTATATTAATGAAAGAAAGGAATTTCAAGTTTAGCAAAAACATGAGGATGTGCACTTAACTTTGTAATGTCTCTGGGGTGGCTGGTGCTAAGAGTCACATCTAAGGCTTTTCTGACAGAACAAAGAGCACGCACTGACCCATGGAGTGGAATCAGGGGGACGGCGAGTCAATTGATTAGAAGAGAGTGTCTCCACTGGACCGCTCAGCTGAGTCCATTAGCAGCTGTCCCTGCATCGGACATTTGTCTGGCTGGTTGGAGGCACTCAGTGGAGCAGACACTTCAGAAGACAGGACTGAAAGAGATGGAGATTCTGAGCACTTAACCAAAAACAATTCATTGCCTGTCTTCCGTGTGCTCGGCACCATGCTAGGCACTGAAGGGGACGCCAACGAAGAACAAGGCGCGATCAATCATACAGGAAAGAGTTTACAGTCGAGCTGGGAGACAAAAGGAAGATACATAAAATCATTCCACTGTGGGACTCTCGCTAAAAAGAGCATGGAGCTTCTGGTGTGAACTGGAAGCTGGAAACTATTCCATAAAATTCAAAGGTAGATTAAAAAAGTAAGCAACAGGACAAACAGATGCAATTGAAGAGGCCAAGCAGCCAGATTAGTTATCTGTGCCGTGTACCCATCAGCGCCTCCCGGCAACTGGCAGAAGGTGAAGGAAGGGCACTGGCGCTGGGAAAGACTCGTCAACTCTACCCTTTTCACGCCTCCATCAAGTGGGCATTCACATGGTGAAGCAGGCACAGGGGCCAGCAGCTGTCAATATTCTCTAGGTCTGAGGCTCTTCCCAAGTCTGGGATTTTCCCCTTTTTCAGATACCTTGACATGTGATCCTCCATGCCCTCCAAAGTGGGTCACCTCTACCATGAATCTCCGCTGTCCTGTTCAGCTGCTAGTCATGTTATTGTCTTCCTCGGCATCACTTTTGCTTCCTCACATGGCACAAAGGGACTATGATTTTACAGTCCAAACGTGGTGACGTTACTCATGTTAATGGGGAAAAAAAATGTGTTCAGATTTTCTGTCACTTTCTCATCTCTTTCTTCTCCCACTCTCATCCTTAAATGCCTGTGGGCTGACCGTCTTTCATTAGGTTCCTTTCCAAACCTTTTTAAAAATTGCTTTTCTCTGTAATATGGGCCAAGATGGCTCCGAACCTTCCACCACACAAGGCCATTAAGATGTTCCACATGAGTTTATACCATTGTTGTTCTTAGCTCTCTCATCAATCTGCTCGACGACGTCAAAGGTTTGCTGGTCGAGGCTGCTTCTGGGCTCTTTCCTTCTCTCTGTTGTAGTGACTGATTTACGTTGGGTAATCTTAGGAAATAACAATATGTGACATCTGTTCTTTTATCCATTTCCTGGCATCAAGTTGTTTAAACGGGCCAGTTTGGAGCTGCCTCAATTGCTCACCGCATATTCTCATTTTGATTCCTTCTTCAAGTTTCGACTCAACAGACGTTTAATAAACACTTACTATGTGTGAGGCATGTGCTAGATTCTGGGGTTTGAAACTGATGCTTATCTTTGTTCTACCAAGTCAGTAATGTATAAACACACAGACACATACACACACATATGTATACATACATATACACACACACACATACATATACACACATATAAATACATTTCACAAATGGTTCACACATTGGCAACCAGTCACCGTGATAATACCCTGTCCTATAAACTCATCCATTTCACTTTTCAGGATGTTGTTTGGTGCTCCCACCCTCTTCATGGGGCCTATGAGCCTTTGGCCCATCTGGCTTTTCATCTGTGAGTCAACATTCCAACATCCCCCCATGCCAACTTTTTTGCCTTTAAGTCACCAAATATTAAAATATAGATATCTGTGGCAGTTCATTCCGTGGTGGCAAGAAACTGGACACTAAAGAGATGCCCTTCAACTGGGGAGCGGCTGAATGAGGAAGTCATGACATGTGAACTTGACGGATGCTACTGTGTTGTAAGAAATAAGGAAATCAATGGATAGTACAAGGGTCTGAGTTACTGTAGGGATACCAAGATATTTGTCCCTGACATCAGTTTCCTGATCTGTACACAAAATGACCCTGACATCCCTTCTAGGTTTATATCCTAGAGACTTGTACCCTTTCTTCATAATTAGCCTTAGAGTTCACTTTGAACTTCAACAAAAAATCCAGACTTTGGACTAATCCCAGGACAAGGCAGGGCCAGTCTCCTATTTCACTCCTATTTCACCCTCCTCTGTAGGGTGATAAGTCAGCCTGATGTCAGCCAGTGGATGAGCTCCAGCCTTCTGAGTTCCAAGGCTTGGATTCACTCTCCAGCATCACTATTTATCAGCTGCGTGATCTCCAGCAAGTCATTTTACCTTCCTCTGCCTTGGTTTCCTCGGCTGTAAAATGGGGACAATACTACCCATACTCTACAGTTGCATATCAGATAATGGAAAGTATTTTGAAAGCAAGGGCTTATATAAATGTGAAGAATTACTATCTGAGAGGGAACTCTGAAGTTGTTAGTTTTAAGAGGTATAAATCAGTTTCAGCAAATCATAGGCTGAGAGCTGGAAGGGACCTCAGAAGTTACTGAGTCCAACCTATTCATTTTGCAGATTAGGAAACTGAGGCAAGAGCAGTGACATGATTTGTCTAGGACGACATGCTTAGCAAGTGTCTGAGGTGGGACTGAACTCCTGAGTGCCAGGCTGGCACCCTATGCACTCTCCCATGCTGCCTCTCTCTTGGCCTGTAAAGTCTCACTTCTTTTCTGCCATGATATCCCAGGGACCCAGAGCCTTTATTCCCACCCCTGGTAAGAAATAGACATAAATGTGCCCAGCGTGTAAAAGCATTCCTTTTTGACTACTTATACAAAACATCCAAACACCATATTCTTAAAGGAAGCCGAACACCAAAAATGTTAGAGGTTTCGGTTCTTACCTGGAGCACAGCAGCAAATAAGAACACAGCAATGAAGATTGCGGTCAGGGAAGTGTGACCACTCTTCATTAAGTGGATGGTATAGAGGAAAATTAAATGTCCAGGAATCACTAGAAGTAGAAGAACTTGGGCAGATTTGTTATTGACTCCTGTAACAGAAAATACAAAGGCATTTAAAGTTAAATCAAATTTCAGTTAATAACGATCAAAAGTAATGAAATGTTCTACTTCAGTATCATTTGAGCCACACATTCACTAGCACGTCTCCCTTAGCACCACATTCAATTTTTAAAAGTCATTTTCAACTGCTATTCACAGCCCTCTTGCTACCATAACCCTCTCCCCATAAAGCCATCAGATCTGAAGCCTGACTGGCTCGTGAAGAGTCGCTGGTCAGATGAACCCAAAATGCCGCTTGTGAGGACAGAAGGAGAGAAGGGAGGAAAGGGGAACCCTTTTCTCCTTGGGAAGTTACCACCAGAGTCCTGCCCGACACTGCAGCTCTCTTAATCACAACGCGTCTCTCTACATCCGTGATCTTCCGGCATCGGAGAAGAGAGATGCGAAGCCCAGCACACATGCTCTGGATGATCAGAGGCCTCTGGCGCCTCAAAGAACACGACACTTTCTGACCCTGAGCCTTCCAGGCCTTGTTTCAGCATGTCCAATCTCAGTAAGTCACGGTAAATGACATTTGTTTAGATCTCAACTCTGTGTTTATCACCACCTCTATGAATCTGTGAATGTGTCTCACTGCTCCTTCTGGGGGGCCTGTGTCCCCTTCCTCCTTGGTATCTGCCCTGCAGCCCTACAACTGACACGTAACTGGCTGAGGTGAAGGACGCGGCCAACTTTCTCTTCAGTTTACCGGCACTCACCGTCCCTCCCTCTCTCTGGGTTCCGTCATGTTGGGCCATGTGCACAATCACCCAGAATGGGAGTAGCACAGGGCGGTGGGGTCATGGGGTTGCACATGATTCATCCTCAAGTGCTCTATCCCTGCCCTCTTTCTATCCTGACAAAGAGCCCCATAAATGGTAGATCTGGGTTTGTAACAAGGACAACAACAATAACTTATCTATTGGCAAGTTACCAAGATCACATCTATGCTTGCATTCCCTCAAACAATGCCTAGTATGGCACCTGACCACCCTCCGGAGCTCAGTTGGTGCCACTTGCCTGAAAGCCCCCCAATCTTACACAAAATTCAAAACACGATCACTCCAAAGCACATACCTGGACCAAAGAAGGTTCGGCATGGGTAGTAGCAGCCTTTGGCTTCATCTGGCACCTCGCCTGGTTTGCCATGTAAATGGAGGTAGGTAGAAATTCTACTAGCTTGTATAGCTACTAAATTACCACCGATACCTAAGACACAAGAAAAGACAGATGCAGATACACGAGGTTATAAACGCTTCAAGCAATGGTGTGTGACATGCGCTGAGGCCAGGTGGGGTTTTCTGTGTTTCTCCAGGGCTACACCGAAGTATGTGGAGGTCGGGCTGCTAGAATGCCTGCCTGCCCAGGACTGTGCTAAAGCATACTGTGGTTCTCTGAGCTGTGGTCTGCCAGTTTCCCTGGCTGTGCTAAGGTACCTGGGGGGTCCTGGTGTTGGTATTTACCTGCTCTGCAGACATAGCTTCTGTGAAACCCACCCAAAGAAGGCTGCAAAAAGCAATGGGCTTAGGGCCAGAAGCCTCCGTGGGGGGTCCTGCATGACTGTGGAGGGGGGGTAATTTTGCTACCTAAGTCTCACTTTCTTCACAAATAGTTATTGAATTTATCTGTAAAATAGGGTTGAAAATATCACTTGATTCCATAGAGCAAACAAATGAGAGCGAGTGACTTCTAACCATCAGATGTCCAATTGAGTCAAGTTTCTTGTCAATTTTAAAACAAACCAGATGTTCTTCTCATCCGTCCTGCCTGTTGCTGACTGCGGTGGGCACTGGCCATACCAACTGTCCTGACACAGGATCCTGCTGGGAGATTTTATCCTCTTGGCTCTGGAAATCCTGCCCCAGGGCCTGTGCTAGAAAGCAAGTTCCTCCCATAGCATCACATGTCAGGAAATGCCTGGCCATGCTTTGCGTTTCATCCTGGACCATTTTCTTGCCATCCACACTGCTGCTGTGGGCATTCTTTCCCACGCTCCATCCTATCCCCCTCTTTTCAGTAATCTGTAACCAAACCAATACTGTTATTGTTATTAGAAAGGGCACGGTAACCTAGCTCCTCCAGAACTCCACTACCCATCCCTGTCATTTCTCAAGTCAATATGTGTTGTCTCCCCTGATCAGAATGGAAGCCACTTAAGGGGGCAAGAATCATCCTGATTTTGTATTTAAATTCCCAGAGCTTAGTACAGTGCTTGGCAACGCAGTAAGCGACTCATAAATGCTTTTTCATTTGTTCATCCATCCATCCATCCGTCCATCCATCTATTTGTGATTCCAAGGCCACTACACCAGGCTGCCTCTGAGATAAATGTTTTAATGGATCACCCTAAAAAGTACAGATTCTCATTCTCAAATTTCAAGCCTGAGAAATAATGAGGAAAATCTATTGTGAAATCAATTTGCAAATTCTGAAAGACTAATCTTCTAAAACACAACAGTAAAAATAATTCTCTAGCTTTAAGACATTTCTCTGAACTCTTTATAACATCATTTATGAACAATCTTTTCAAGAAGACAGGACAAAAATATGCACATAATTTTCTTTTCTTCAAAGGTGAGTATAGCATTTAATGGGACAGTGAAGGGGTGCAGTGGATGGAGTGCTGGACTTGAAGTCAAGAAGACTCATCTTTCTGAGTTCAAATCCAGCCTCAGGCACTTCCTAGTTGTGTGACCCTGGGCAAGTCACTTCACCCTGTTTGCCTCAGTTTCCTCATCTGCAAAATGAGCTGGAGAAGGACATGGAAAGTCTTCCAGTATCTGTGCCAAGAAAACCCGAAGTGGGATCATGGGGAGTCCAACATGACTGGAATGCCCAAACCACAACAATAACATAGCATACAATAAATCTTCTGTGAAGGAAGTTAGAAGCTTCAGAAATACATACAGAAGGGGGAGAAAGAGCAACTAAAAGAAGGGAACTCTGGTTTATTTCTACAATTCCTATTACAAAACTAGCTGTAATCAAGCTTCCGAACCTCCACCAGCTGGATTTGAGAAGCATGTTCTGGGTGAAACAGGCACACTCCATTCTGGAGCCTCTGGGCAGCAGAGAAGCCCAGCTTGCTGAGGGCATCATCCTTCCCCTTTCCTCGGGGCTGGGCGTGCCTTAATTAGATGCAAACTTTTCCCACATTTTGAAAAGAAACATAGATTTTTAGAACTGATAGAGATCTCAGATATCATCAAGTTCAACTCTCCCACAGCCCCATTTTCTAGATGAAAACTGGGGCCTATGGAACTTATGAGGTGAGAGAATTGAGGGGATTGGGAAAGCAAGTGGTTAATTGTGGGAAGTGAATGAACCACACGGCCTCCATCTTGTGATTCAATTCTGGAGATAGCTCAGTTCCTTTTCTACTCAATTACAGGTCTAGTCCAATTTCTGTCTTGTGAGAAAACTATTCAATTGTGAGAACTGGGAGAAAATCTTACGGCATTGGTTAAATCTAGCCCCGCATGGCTGGGAAACTGGACCACCTCTATCCGTTCTTTAGAGACCCTTAGCTAAGGACCTAGGTGATGCTGACCAGAGACCCAGTCAGAGCCAAAGATTGATGCACGGAGTTTTCTCACAAGTACACATCTCAAGTAACCCCATGTGTCTTATCTGAAAACTGTCCCCATACTGATCAATCACTTGTTGTTTCCACGGTCCTTTGATTGTTCACAGACACTTGGAGAGAGTGGAACCTCTGTTCGTTCTCCTCCTCCCAACTTGGAAAGTCCCTAATCTTTCCTCCAATTAGAAATCAGGTGACCTAATGTTGTATCCTGTTAATTGTTCTCTTTTAATTAACTGGTCTTATTTGATTAATTGCTTAGACTATATAAAAGTCTGTCTCCCCCCCGTATTCAGGGTCCAGTGCCAGAGCTGAGGAAGGTGACAGGCCCTGATGTGTTGGGCAATTGGCATGTGCTGCTTAATAAATCCACAGGCCCAGAAGCTGGAACCTTGGTTTCCTCAGTCATTTCATCTTTCACCCAACACAGTCACACTCAAAGTCACACAGCTAGTTACTTATCAGCTGGGTTGGAACTAGAACCTGTCTCCTTCTGGTAAGAAGACAAAAAACATATTCCAAACGAGAGAGGAATAAACAATCCAGACATCTAAAATAACTTCCACTATTTAAGAAGCGTCTAACAGAAAAGTTGGAGACGTGACAGACAGGAAGCATGCAGACAGCTAACAAGTCCTTCTACACCCAACATTACCCATCTTTTTTTTTTAACACCACCACACTCCCCTCCCCCCAGAAAATAAACAGAAAAATAATCTTAACAGGAGGCAACAGGGAATACTGCCTGGAGAAAAAAATCTCTGAAGATCAGACCTGGCAGCTAAATGTCAGGCCGAACTAGGAATGGAACCATCCCAAACTCCCATCAGTGGTAGAAAAAAAGGCAAGGTCGCTGCAGCTCTCTGTTGCTCCATGGTACCCACTGATGGAAAAGACACTTTTATTAGTCATCTTCCAAAAAGAATGCTCCAGACACAAACCAGAAGGCATGACCCAAAGTGGGGGATCAATCCACTTAAATTGGGATACTTCTGGATAAGAGACACTTGGGAACCGCTCTAAAACGCAGTCAGACCATGTCTGTGCTTACTGTTACGCGGTTAGCTGGAAGGTGAGACCGTGAATCAGCATGAGCCCGTAAATTTGGGAGGACCTGGAAAAACCATCTCTGCCTACAGCTGGGAGTACAACTGAGTCCTCCTGGACACTGGGAAATGAGGGTCTCAATAAGGGGAATACAGAGGTTCAGTGTGAGAGTGAATGAGGTGTGCAGTCAGACGTGGGCCACAGACCGCGGTGGCACTGCTGCCAACATTCACAGGCAGAGAGAGAGCCCAAGGCAAACCCTTGGCCCAGAACGACCATCCTAACAGTAACCCAAGGTGCATAAAGGAAGGGAGATGCTTTCCCCTGGCAGGTCATAACTGCCTCCTTATGTCTAGGTGCTAACCCTAGAAAGTTTATGGGGCTTTCGCATGGGGGGGAAAAACAAACAAATACATAAGTGTGTGTTGTGTATTTTTTTTTTTTACTGAATTGAACCACACTGAATAGTTCCTGAATTATCATCTGTACCTGACAGACAAGTAACTTGATTCTTCAGTGATCTTCAGGGCCTAGACGCCAGTTATTAACTTCTCACAGCCTCTTTCAAAGATTCCAATTGGGCTACGTGTAAGAATGGGGGCTCACATCCCCAAAGGTAAGTGGCAGGATGCCCAGGAGATCTGTTCAAAGCCTGACTAATCTATCTATGTGGCCCAATGCCTAGCAAAGCACTGGCAATGAATCAACTTTAATAACACTAATTTGCTTAAATGTGGAAATAAGAATCTTGGGTTTTTTATCCCACGGAAAACTGAAAAGTACAGAAACAGTAACAACATGAACCTCCCTTGAAATTTTCCATTTTTTCCCTTTTGAAACAGTGGAAGTCAATCTCTTTTTGTGCCAACGCACCCAAAATAAAGCAGTTTAGAGCATTATGATACTTTCAAAACTGAAATGATAATTACTAGGGCTTAAACTAAACGTAGCTTCACAATTCCCTCATCATGTCTCATTTAGTAAACACAAAATTCATTAGCACTCACTTAAGATGATTAAAGAAGCATTTTCCCCACAAATATGAGAGAGTTACAAGGGAAAATATGAACAAGCAACAGAAGGGTACATTTCAGCCCAAAAAGGAAGGCCTCCTGATGACTGGTGCCTTCTGAAAGCCGAATGGAATCCTGTAGGTGGCGGTGATTTCTCCGTCACTGGAGGGGTGCATGCACACGCGGGATCACTTGTCCATTGCTAGTGGGGGCACGGCCATCTTCTCCAGGCCTCCTGAGCCACAGCTTCAGAAGCCTTCCTTGACTCTTCACTGTGCTTCCTCCCCCATTCAGCCAGTTGCCAAGACTTGTCAATTCTATGTCCCTAACATCTTGTATCCATCTGCTTCTCTCCACTCACATGGCCACCATCCATCCTACTCTAGGCCCTCATTCCCTCTTACCCAGACTATTGCTATAGCCTCCTAGTTGATTTCCCTCAAGCCTTACTTCTCTCCAACCTATGGTCCACACAGTGGCCAAAATAATTGTGCTAAAGTACAGAGTGACCAGGCCACTGCCTTGTTTGAGAAGCCCCAGGATGAACCAGAAGCTCTTCTGTATCT